ATTGAGCTTGTTAGACCATTTTTCCCCTGTTTAACAAGACAAACACATACCTGACCATGCCTTATTAGATTACAGTCTGAATGAGATTCTCGGATTCTCATGAGCCTCATCAGGTTGCTGAAAGGCAGTAAAGCACGACACTTGCACCGCAATGCACTTAAAAGTTATTTGAATAGCAGCAAGAAGAAACAAAGCTCAATTAAAAAACACCCTTAAGGCAAGTCTAATCCCATGTGTTAGAGAGCTCTGGAACGGTCAGGCTGACTGCTGCAGGCAAGCTACATGCTTGTGTGCTCCAGGTAGCATACGCATATTCAATCATTCTTTGAGTAACTCTCTGTGCAGTCGCACCAAGACCTCATAGCCTCTTCTGCAGAAGGCACCAGACCCAGGTGGTTTGGAACAGCAGCCACTTCAGCTGTGCAGCTAGGGTGAAGTAAACACACTGTGAGCTGTCTGAAGCTGGAAACTGAAGTACTGTCAACCAACATCCAGAACAGATCCAGCCACTCCCTGAATATAAATCCACACATCTTTCTCCCTCTCCAAACCACCCAACAGCGCTAGTGTTAATAGCTTTACTGGCTGAAGGAACAGTAGAAGTAACTGCTGAAAAGCAGCAGGTATACTTCACAGAGAGCATTATCAGCATTTGACAGTGTAGTGAAATGTGAAGATGTAATACTACGTGTAATCAGCCCTATAAAGCTTCTATCAAGCCTATCAACAGGGTACCAAAGATTATTTAGTGGTTCTGTATTTGCTATGCTGTAGATCTTACTGCAACAGAGCTGAATTTTGGTAGACTCTGCACTACGGAAGATGAGTCACATCAGATTAAGTAGTGGTATGGGAAAGTCCTACACATTGTATATCACAAACAGTTAAATACATGGAGGAAATCTCTTGGGAGCAGCTAGCTACATCTAAAAACTAAGAAATGTGACACTTTGCTTGCAAAAGTAGCAGCAGAATTGCCTTACACCCAGCTACAAGAAAGCCAAGAGGAAATCCAAACAGGAACTGAAAAAGTCAGACAAAGAAGTCAAGGAAAAAAAGAGCTGGAATGAAACTAAGTCACCCTGTCTCCTAAAAAGCACTGGCAGATATGAGCATATTAGAAAGGCCAAACAGCAACATTTCTGTCTAGTGAAATCCAAAGTTTATTCACTCTGTCAGTAAGAAACATCAGGAAACACTTTTTTTTATCAACCTGCTACCACTCACTGCAATTTAAGCCATTCCTTTAACAGTCACAGACTATATATTCTTCAAATACATGAAAGATTTCCCCAGAGAGAAAGAGAAGAAACTTAGTATTCCATTTGCTGGAATGCCAACCTCAAAAATAGTTAACGTGAATTCTGTGCCTGAATACACAAGAAAAAGGCAGTTAAACAGTGATGCTAAAGTTGAAGTACAAATTAAAAATTCATGTTTAAAGTATTAATGAGAATGGTGTTCTAACTTAAGTTTCAAGAGTGTAAACCAGCTAGGAAACACAGGAAAAGGGTGATGAGAAAGATAAAGGATCACAGTGCAGACCACAGATACTGAGCAAGTCAAACTAACACACGGCTTGGCTAGAACACTATCACTTTGTTGTGCGCAAACTAAGCTAGTTTGTACTAGAAGGAATAGACCTGTGGTACTCCTAGCTTAAATTAAGCACAAGTATTTTTCTCACTAATATTAAGTAGTCCCTACTAAACTGCATGCTGCCACAGCTCAGTTACCTTCGATACTCGAGCTTATCTTTAACTAGCTAGTGGAGGTAACTTCATAGTACAGAGCACACTAAAGTCCTATGCCAAACAGGGTTCAACAGTAACAGCTAGAAAAATAACTAGCAACTGAAGAGGTACTGGAGGAAAGAAAAACTCTTCCACCTTACTCATACTGAAGTTTTTAGTTTTTTCTTGTTTTATTTTTTGTGTTGTTCATTGTGACAATGAAGTCCACATTAGAAAAGACTGCTTTGAGTGTTTACAGGAGCCCGAGTTTCATTATGGTATGACATCATTTAAGAGAAAAGACTCCCAGTATAGGTAACTTAAGCAGAAAACCTACTTATCAGATTATTAATTGACAGACAGGCCCATGCTGTTCAGAGTTCTCCACTTTACCGTTCTTTAATACTAATGTAGTTCCTTGCTCGACATGAAAAACCACTCAAACTTCAAAACAAAATCTCATTGCAATGCAAACCTTCTGGCCCAGGCAAAGAAAAAGCTAGGGTGCAACCCTTGCATAGACTGTTCGTCAATGAGTGAGGCAGAAAGGCATATGGCTTCACCAGCTTGCTAAAAGACAAACAGTTTATAATAGCACTCTTTCACCCACAGGACAGAAATCTAGTCTTCTATTGTCATTTTTCTTTGCGCATGAATAGTCTGCTAAGAGCAGCTTTATTAAGAGCAGCAGGCAGCCTGGATCCAGTGTACGTCGGAATTCAGCCAGAAGACTAGTAAGTCAAGAAGCTCTTCTCAGACACAAAACAGGCTTTTAAAAATGCATATACTTCAGTTCTAAGAGGAAGCAAGGGTCTTTAGGTAAAAGCAAGAAATGTTGCTCATGACAGCAAGAAGCTCAGTGTATCAAGATGTGTTTTAACACTACTGGTTTAATGTATCTATAACGGAGTAAGTTCTCTCCGTGTATTTACCCGAACAGAGTGCTTTTCTACTACAAAGTGAAACGCTAAATGAGCCGCTGTTTCTACTGAAATAGGTACACAGAACAGTGCTTCCATGAACAGGTGCAACAAACTACACCTGCATTTTTACAATCTATCATGCACAGTAACATCATCCCATTGATAAGCAGAACAATCTCTTTTGCTTTCATTGTTTAAGGCTTTTAACAAGACACATATATACAAACTGCAGCTAGACGAGCCTCACATTTGTCATCTGCCTTCCATGTCAAGCTGTCTCCCCTTCTACAGGACTCTACAGAATTAAAGAAATTCTACTCCAGTGTTATACTGGGATCAAAGACTGAATTTCAGAAGCCTGCCAGAGCAGCTTGCAGTTCTGGAATTGTAAGCAAAATGGATTTATAGCCAGTCCAAAGCTTTTAGTGCTATGGTAATATTCAACATTAACTAAGCTAAACTATACTGAACCAGTATACTAGTAACAATTGCTTAAGCTGTCTGGCTTCTAATCACCTTCAGAATCCAGGAAATGTACATAACGAAGTGATGACAGAAGGTATGTTGGCAGAAATCAGTATTACCTCAATCCCTACTTGAGAACTTGGGTATGCCTCCTTATGAGAGAATGAATCCCACTGTTTGCACTAATTAGCAGACAACCAACCAAGCACATTTACAATACAGGATCAAAGACCGTAAGAAGTAAAACCAGTCAGTTCATACTACAGCTGTATCCATGTCTGACTACTAAGGAGATGCCACTTGTTTCCAGCTTCACTGAGTCATATAAAATGCCCCATATTAGACCCTTGCAAGTTTGCCATAACTCTATCCACACATCCAAGACCTACTGACACACCATATAAGGCAGCCACTGTTTCCTAGAAACAAACTCATTCACAACAGTTAAAAGTTTGGTTGGGCATTTTCTTTAGATTGTGTTTTATGCCAAAAAAAGCAAGCTGTAGAATACTTTCTCAGTAGATTCAGAGAAGTTTCCACATTCCAGCATGAATTCTCTGCATTTTGTAAAGCAAGCAGAGACCTCCTTGATCTACAAGCAAGTACTTGGTGCTATACCATGAAGTCATCTCTACTTCAAATTTGTGTCTTCCAGCAAGATTAACAGATACATGAACTGTAATCTGTCCGTAACCACCTTCACTTCAAAGAGGTATGTTCAGACTGTTGACTGTGGAGCTTATTTCTGCGTTTTGGCTAGTAAGAGTGGACTACTTTTGAAGCATCCTTAGCTTTGTTTTGCAGAACACAGAGGTCTGTTTTAAAACCTCCCCATGTCCGATTCTTACAAGCCAGGACTGTCTTGATCTTATTAGTCTGGAATCTTACCAAGCATATCTACAATATGCAATACAACATGATGCGGACAATCCTTGAATTTGTCAATGCTCCCGATAGTAGATTCTGTTAGCATGCTTGCTACCACATCTGTGAAATTGAACACCAGAGTCCCAGGAGGCCTTTCAGGTTAGTAAGCCACATGCCATACTAAGAATGAAAACCTAAGCCCCAAGTGCATATCATCTGAAACCCACTTTTGGAAATTAACATAGAATTCCAAAAGTATATTTCTACAGCAGTGTAACAACTCTAAGAAACTTAAATCCCCCACAAGATATATTTGGCCTTAGCAACAGACTGTGCATATTAGAATTATCTTTTCTTGAGTGATGTTTCTTTGGGTATTTGGGAATATCATGCTGCTGTCAAGTTTCACTGAGCATGTCTACTTTGCATGATAAAGCACATCAGCAACTGGTAGAAATTCCGAACATTTCTGGCTTCTGCAAAGAGCGAGGCAACTGAAGCCACAGAAAGCAGAGCGGTGACTAAGCATCTATATAACATAAGACACATTAATTCCTAATTAACACAGAGCAGCTACAGCACGGCTATTCATCTTCTCCTGTTGAGAGGCAACAGATTCTTCCATAATTGTATGCACAAGACCTTAACTTCCCACCAAGTTCAAAGTTTGTTGTGCTGCATTTCTCCAGTATCATTTCAAACAAAAAGAACAAATATGACAATCAAGCTTCCACCAACCTTAAATACAGACATATTTAAGTGAAGCCCCTTAAAATTTGTGCTTTCATACCACAGCTCATGCTTCTAGCACACCAGAACTCCATTTGAACAAATACACCAGAATCTTAAACAGAAAACAAGACATGTCTATAGGGAGGATATACAGAGATTTATTTAATCAGGTTTACTATTTACAGTTGAGATCACTTCCACAAACTACTCTGCTACTCTACAAGGCTACATTGTTTCCAATCCAATTTAAGATCTACAGTCTAACAGTTCACTCAACACAATACATTGCACTCCTGAAAAGCCAGCTTGTGTTTTAAACTGCTAATATCTGAAAGATTTGATCTCTGAAGGTTGAAACCGCAGTCACATGATCCTAACATTTTGGTTAGTGTTTGGGTTTTTTTACAATTTTATATATAAAGTGTACTGGACCTAAGTGTTTTTTTAAAAAGCGACACTGGTGAGGGGCAAGATTAAAATATTTTTTCTCAAATTACGTACAGCTGGCTTCCTTTGTACAACTTTGGCCAAAAAAAGTTCCATGTAGTGAAATCCTCTCTCTATATGCAAGAATCAGCCAGCTAATGCTTAGAGGTAATCTACCAAAGTAGGCACGCATCCTTTCACTTTCCTATCAACCAAATCACACTTAACTTGCAAATGGTTCTGAAATTAGAAAGTTACTAGTACACTAAAACATTTAGATACATGAATAGCTGGCTAAAACAGTGAAAGTCACAGGTAATTATATAGGTGTGTGTAAAGCTGAGTTGTTTTGCCCATCACCAGTGTACAGTACTGCTGTCCTCTTCTATGAAAGGTGTGCTTTGACTAAGCTTAGGGCAAGAAAGCTATCCCAGTACACCTGGCCCTTTCACCTTCCACACAAGTGAGATAAGATTGAACTGCGTGTTCGCATTGTCTTCTAGGCATAGGTTCCGCCAGTGATGAGAAGTTCGTAGGCAGGATCCCGACTCCTCCTACATAGTACTACACAGGCACACAACATGCCCAGAAGCTACGGAGAAAGAAAAAAGAAAACAAGCTGAGTACAAAAAGTATTTCAAGAGACTTAATCTCAGCACAGAAATTGTCAGCATGCTTCCTAATTGTCCATAAGGTAAATGGCAACAAATGCATTGTTCTTCAAAAACTTCATTTCCTGCTGCAAAAGGCAAGGGCCACAAACTCCACCTTTATCTTCTTGCAAGATTATCTTCGACATCTTTAGCAAAAGATGTTTTTTTTTTTTGGTCACCCACTTCTATTCTGCCTCAATAATTCAGATGAAAGAAAAATTATTCTTTTTCTTAATGAAGGGTGCAGATTTTTAGATACTGTATCTGATATGAAAAAATCAAAGCGAAGTTCAAATGCACTAGACTCTAACGGCTATGATGTGAAAGAGCAAAACTTTAGAGTTTTATGAACCTACTTCACTGCTGAAATCTCTTTCAAATGCTCAATCTCTGTTAACACGTCATATTATAAAGCTTAGGACCAATGTGAATTATTCACTTTCAGACATTTTCCTGCTGTTAAAACACAGTACCATGACTGTGCTGGCAAGTTTAGCAGCAATTTAGGGTATGATCACCCAGTATACTTTTACAAGACTTAAATCAGATGAATGTAGTCAGGAATGTAGGCTACGATACTTACAGAAGTTGCATGTTTACTGAAGGTAGAATAACCTACTAAAGAAATAATCAGGTGTAGTATTGCGTTCTATGGCCTATAATAATGGGCAATAGCTACTCGTAAAGTAAGAGATTTTATTGATTTGGTCATATGCATAGAAGTTTATTTGGAGATGCAAATATTTCAAGAGGCTCCTGCCATAGCTCTGAATTATAAAGCATCACCCAGAAGGTAAATACATTTCTTAAAAAAACAACAAAAAAAACCTACCCCAAAAAAACCCTGAACAGAGAGCAAACAAGAATGAAATGGGTGAGCAGACAACCAAGTGTAAAGCTTCTCCATTGATACAGCAAAAACCCAGTGCAAACACAGCACTAGGACAAAAGGAGAATTACTCGCTGTCTTTAATGGTCTGATGTAAACATCATGTACAGTAAGTTTTAAAACTAAATGATGGTACACGCAACATATTATTCAATCAGCTAAAAGCCTTGAAGGGAGCATGCTTTAAAAATCTTAAGTCTAAATAAGCAGTGACTAAAAAGAGGCATGATGAAATTCTAGTATGAGCTTTTAATTTCCTGAAAAGGAACCAGGTGTAAAGATTAATAATATTATTTGTCTGGAGTGTATTATCCACTTTGGATCTGTAGCAGAAGCCAGCTCAGGTTCAAATGAGCAAACGGAGAGTAACCTAGAGCATGGCACTTCAGCCTGTTGGTAAAAACAGCACCTTCCTTCGCTTTCCATCAGTACTTGGGTGGTTCCAGTTCACAGATTAACTCCCAAATATATTTTACATTCACATCAGAGTAACAGATAAAACAGAGATAATGACTCTTCATGGACAGAGCCCTTCTATGTGAGGAGATAATACCTACAATTAAAAACCCCCTAAGTTAGACTTGTGAGATGGAGAGTTTATGGTAGTTGCCATTGGCTACAGAACTCTGAAGATGGCTTGCAGCCTGCATGCAGAAAAACTTCATATTTTTCTCTGTTCAAAACAAGGATAAAATGAAGAGTTTGCTGCAGAAAGACACCTCCTTTAGTCATTTGCTATAATTCATTCTAGTCATGTATATCAAATAAACAAAAGTAGTTCCATCACATTTACAGTTATTCACACATAGATAAACCTGGTCAATGACCTAAGACATTCAATTTATACAGAGCTGTGTAAAATCCGAAACAATCAGGTACTGCAATAAAGAACTCATACAATCAAATTTTGAGCTATTATTTATACCATTTATATCCTTTAGGAGGGCACTAAGCATATTCCTAGAATTTGCTATGAACACAGAAGTAATCCTCGTATTTCAACTTTCTCTACAGAACTTCAGTACATCATTTTTTAAACTATGCTAGCACCTCTAAAATGTTTCCAAAAGCATTTGATTCTGTTTCTCTTCAATTGCTACTAACACTGTGAACAAAACTATTTTACAAGTCTGTGTTGACCAAGGATCCGTGCATACCCCTGTTCAACTTTCAGAAAAGTTTAGACCCATCTCCTACAGTCAGAACATTTATTTCTGGGTTTGTGCTTTTTTGTTTGGGGTTTTTTTTTTGTGTGTGTTTTCAAAATTTGCCTGCTAGCAGTAACTATATTCAGTTTGCTTTCACCAAACCTGTCAGTTTTTTGTACGAACAAGCTCACTAGCTGTATACATATGCGAAGCTCAGCTTTTGTAGTTAGTGGTCATTGCAAGGTACTATCTTGAAGAATGAACTCTGCAGTTGATCAAGTAGCACTTCTACTGCACTGCAATGCCTTTGCTCCCTTCAGTTTGCCTCCTATTAATAGTTCTGTGCTGTTACTGTGGTTGAAACCAGGGAATTATTGCACACTGGAAGATCCCCATAGTAACTGAAACATGAACATACCAAAAACTACTTCTATGCAGAAAAGGCTAAGTTTTCCACAGATTCCAAGCCTTGCAAGAATTCTCCACTCCTTAATCTTTTTATTTTAAAGAAAGGCTGAATTTGTTGAATGTTAGCATCAGAAGTAACAAACTTTGGACAGCCTTACTGCGTAACATACGAAGTGACAACCAGTTCAGAGTGGACTTGTATGCAGTGAGTACAGGAAAGGGAGTAAAAAAGGTAGTAAAATTCACTAGGAGGTAAGAAAAACATAATTACTCCTCTAAGTTTACAGGACGTGACCTAGGTTACATGCCACTTGCTGAAGTTTACATTCCTACCCCCATTTCAATTAGCCCACAGACTATTTTGCTGAGAATCAGGCTAAGTACATACTTAAATTCTGTATTACAAATAAGAGGGTGTCACAATTTATGACTTCAGTTGCAGACCACAAATAACAGAAAAGTTTGAATGCTGTTCAATATCAACTTGCCTGAAACTAATGTGTTTCCAAAACACGTGAATTTGTTCTTGTATTTCTGCTCCACACTGTTTATAAGACCTCTGATAGACTTAAATATGATTACTGCTTAGTGAATATTACTAGATGGCAGTTTCAAGGGCATTCCCAACACCCTGTATCGTATATTTATCTTTATTAATTTTCTAAACAGGTATCATACAGCTTGTTTTAACTTTAAGCAGAAAGATTACAAAATGCTGCACTGCAGCACCAAATAATTTTCTCTGATGTTATTTTCTTGCCAAATTGCTTATGCAATATGTACTTTCTGCCAACAGCTTGATTACTGACCTGTGGGGAGAAATCAAAGAGCACCCACTGCAGAAGGGATACAACTAACATGCTTCCCCAGAGCTGATGAGCCAGGAGTAACAGAAGGATGCAAGCAGCCATACTTCCACTGCAAGCACATCAGAAGTTCCAGCCCAATCCCAGAGAGGATAACAGCTGGGATGCATTTTGGGGTGGACCACTTAACCTGCAAACTCCAAAGCCAGGAATAATGCCTCCTCTTGAGATTCACCTCACCCAGCTTCATCACATACTTTTTTTTTTTCACTACATAAAAAAATCTGCCACAGTAACCATGGCTGTGGTAAATAACTTAATTCACATTACACAAATATATTTCAGTGTTCAAGCAGACTAAACATTGCTTTAACCATTACAAGTTTTAAGAACACCAATTAGAAAAAACACCTTCCTTCAGAAGACTGAGCACAGATCTCACCAAATTTAAAGTTCCATGGCTGAAGTAATCTGGTTCTGGACAGCGCAACAATATTAGTGTATACAGTTTTACCTATGAGTATACCCTTGTAGTACTGAAATCTAAACTTGACCATATTTTCCCAATACTGTTTCCAAAAAAAATTGCTTACCTTCAAACATATAATCGAGCCTAAAAGCTGCTTTTGAAAACAACAGTGCCTAAACTGCCCGACTCAACAGGTACAATGGTTCACAAAGTCAAATACTATTAAGGGCACAAAAGTAACTTTGAAATTAGTTTTCACGTCTCTTGGGATTCCGCATATGTACTACATTTCTCAGAGGCCATAACAATGGCACAGCCTGAAAATGATGTGATTAATGTGCTAAGCCTGCCAAACTGATGAGCATTCAAAATTCTGATTTTACAGACATGCTTAGAAGACAAGTCCCAGTCTTTTTACAAAAAGCCCTTAACGAATACCGAGATACACATTAGTCTGTTTCCTCAGTTACATTTATAACCTGGGTAACTGCAACAATTAAGGTTTTCACAGGAATGTGTGCTCAATTTTAAGTAGGCAGCATCTGCAGTTCAGAACTCTTTTTTTCTTAAGTCCAGAAACCAAGATACCATCAAAACAATGCAGAGTTCAGTTGAACATGAGCAGAGTATGCTATCAAAAACCCTGGTGTATCTCCTGAGTGGTCCTGACACTATTTGTATGCCATGAAGCATAGTTAAGCTGATGTACCTCTAAAATGGCATGAAGTATGAGCTAACTGCTTTATGGCTGGAAATTCCAATACTATGCAAATTCTTCAAGTGTTAAATGCCATCAGAGCACATTCATGATACTTCATATTTAGACAATTAGTTTTCAAGAAATAATTTAGAATTTACATTCTAGTGGATTACTGTGTGTAACACTGACTGTTCAGCTATCTTCAAATCTAACAGAATATACATCCACACAGTAGTTTTTAGACCATGCAAGGTTGAGTTCTGTATTAAAGTGTTTAGATCCTTTTGACTGATGTTCATTTATCCCCCAAACCAAGCAGTGACTAAAGCTTTCATCCTATGCATACCTGTAATAATCAGTTTAGAATTTCTTTTGAGAGTTTACAGCTAAAGAATACTCTTACCTGAATAGCAGCAAATGCTAGTGCTGCCCAGATGACGTACATCATGATCTCCTGCAGCTTCTTTACAACCAGAGCCTCACACCCCTAAAACAAGTAGACTTCTTATACATCCATCTGGCAACCACATTGAGGCACACCAAAAAAACAACCCCAAAAGCATCAAACAGGGCAGAAACATAGTCCAAACACTTAAAAAGGTCATTACTTAGTATATCACAGATGAAAACACAAGAGAGGCCTTTTTCCCCTCTAGCAGCCACGCTTATTTCCTGGTAAAGCAAATACACCCAAGATCTCATGCTCCCACTAAAAAGAAAATTAAATGATTGTCAGCAAAATCACATGGCTACACAAGTTCATACTTTGGTTGTCTTACCTCAGAATAAAGGTCCATTGGGCGGGTCAAACTTCCAGTACAATTGCTGAGGGATGCTTTGCAACAGCTAAGTGGCACGCTGTTATTTTTAGTTTGTTTGAACCAGACAGTATCCTCCCAGTCTGAATAGTTACTGATCCCACAGCAGTGCAGCTGAAAACACATGCAAGTAAAAAGCCAATGTGTTTATCAGTCAAGAAGTGAGATGAGACAGCAATTCTAATTGCTATACCAATAACACAAGCATATTAAGATTAGGCTACCTTTGTTACTTGAGTAACCCAGATAATTTGACAGTTACTTAAGGAAATCACAGACTGCTTGTACTGTGAAGGGGCCTATAGCCTTAAATCATTTAAGATACTCCTTACAAAATACAGACTTGAAATTCCAGTTCCTGGGGAACATTTGACAACTCACTTTTCCCTCATGCCTCCCAGACAAGACAAAAGCTTTATTTTTGGCTTCGAACAGCTCTATCCTTAAAGCTTACAACAGATGCTTGAAAAAAACCTTTGCTTTCTGGACACAGTTCTGGCATGAACCAGTGTTTGCTCTTCTCAGATAACTGTGGTGCAGAATTGGAGTTAATTTTATATAGTCACATGCCTACGCAGCCATGTAGAAAGCCTTCAGGAATGGACCAATTAAAAATACATACTGTTCCATTCTGCTGACAGCACATGCTCTATTGCACTCCTTGGAGTTTTCTTGTGTACAGTGCAGCCTCAAACACAGGTACTGCCCTAAGTTTCAATTTACCAGCTTCTTATCCTTCTTCCCTTTCAGGAGGGATTTTAAGCAAGGTATTAATTGGTAGTATTGACTAACTTCAATGCATTAGACATTTAATATGCAAATATTAGACAACTTATTAAATTCATGCAATTGTAAGCATGTTGAGAGCTCCTGAATCTTCCTTAAGTCTGATTGGTTCTTTTAGCCTTAAATCCAGAGGCTTGCGACACTAGCCTTCAGCTAGAACCAAGAACACTGCTTTCTCCCCAGCATGTTCCAGATAAATCTGTGCAGACGTGAGAACATTCTGCAATACTCCATTGCAGAAAAACACGTAACTACTAAATATTTCAATCTAAACACTGATTCGTAGGTAGCCAACTAGGCAAAATGCATCTCCCCATCAACAATGCCATAATTCTACTACTTTTAACCAAGTTAAGCTATTTATTGACTGATCAGCTGTTCCCTTAATCTGTAGAAATGGAGGAAGATATGCTACAGAAGTAGCAGAGCAACACAGCATCTGTGCTTTAAGGACAGAAAGGATGAAAAAGTTCCTATGAGTCTCGCAATCTTACCTGCCTCTGTACATAGTCAATAGCACGACTGGCTGCATCAGGATTTGTCCCATTGTATCCATTCCACACTTTCCGAATGCTGTGATTAACTTCACTCTCCATCTGTGAAGTATTAGGAAAGCACCTGCATTAGCACATCAACAGAAGCAGTGCAGGTCTAGGTAAAATTATTTTACTTATTATAGCAATTGAGGAAACCAAGGTAACTCCCTATCATCTGAAATTAGCATACTTTGGTGGCACAGCTTCTTAAAATTCTAATTTGACTCTTGCTAGCTTGCAGCTAATGGACAAGAAAAAAAAACAAGCAGCTGTCTTCAGTAAGATTTTAGACAAAGTAGCTTCACAATGTATCTCAAAGGGAATTGCTTTTATTCTGACACTGTGGCAGACATACCACGAAGTTAAGGGTACTCCATAAGCGTATGCATTTACCTTTCCACTTCCTACTCCTCCTTCACAGTTCCAAACCAATCTGGGCTAACTCATTCCCTTTGGGACCACAAGGATATGAGCAAGCCATACCACCTCCTCTTCCCTTTCTGACTGAAGCAGAGGTAAATTCTCAAAGCTGAGGAATTTTGGTTGACTCTTCTACCCCAGAGTAACCAAGCTCTCTGTTCAGTCCCACTCCCCCTCCCTCACTTCCTGAGACACATTGATGGCAGTACATTGTACATAGCAACAGCTACTGGAATAGCTCTTAAAGCTACTGCAGATGAGTCAAGCTGCTAAAGATACTGTCAAGTACACGTGTCAAAAATGGATGGCATCCAAGAATCATCACTTGTCCCCCAGAAGGTATCTTATAATGCCCATTTTGGAAGAAATCTCACCAGAACCTTTGAAGTAGTATGTTTCACTATAAACTGTTACTTAAAATGCACACAAAGTTTGGTGTTGCTAAACATTTGTAAAACAGTAAAATTAGCTCTGATTTGACTTTTTTCTACTGCATTCAACAGGAATTATGTGCAAGGAATGTAATCTTAGGGCTGAGCATTAGTAACCAGGCATATTCTTTAGATTTGCAAGTTACAGTAGGAAGCTCTTCGCAACACATCATTCCCTTAAATGCTTTAAGGGAAGAATTTTCTGCAGCAATACCACAAGCTTCATTCACCCCCAACCAAGAATGATGGTTATCTTCAGAAGTAAATACGTATCATGACAGATACGAAAAGTCAATTTACCCTGCACAAGCAACCAGTTTCAGACCAGTTTAAAATCAATTGCTTGATGATTTAACTAATGTGACTTACAAATGATTCATATAACAAAACAGCTGTTCAATTTGTCCTATAGGTTTTTAAATAATTTATTTCAGTGCTTGCTTGGCTTATGGTTCAATCATGTTCTACACAGCACCGGGCCTGCTGGCGACAGGTGGAACTCGGCTATCACAAAGGGGAAAAAGAATTCTTGGCCACGAGCTGGCGGGGCTCATTGAGAGGGCTTTAAACTAGGTTCGAAGGGGGAAGGGGATATTGCCCAGCTCACTAGGGCTGAGCCTAGGCTTGGAGTGCCAAGGCCAGGGGTGAGATTGACAGCCCAGCTCAAGTGTGTTTACACCAATGCACGTAGCATGGGCAATAAACAGGAGGAGCTGGAAGCCATTATACAGCAGGACGGCTACGACTTGGTCGCCATCACAGAAACGTGGTGGGACAACTCGCATGACTGGCATGCTGTCATAGATGGCTACAGACTCTTTAGGAAAGACAGAACAACAAGGAGAGGTGGGGGAGTTGCTCTATATGTGAGGCAGCAACTGGAATGCATTGAGCTTGGCCTGGGGGCAAGTGAAGAAGGAGTTGAAAGCTTGTGGGCTAGAATTAAGGGACAGGCTCACACGGGTGACATTACGGTGGGTGTATACTACAGGCCACCCGACCAGGAGGAGGAGGTTGATGAAGCCTTCTACAGGCAGCTGCAAGCAGCCTCACAGTCACAGGCCCTGGTTCTCATGGGGCACTTCAACCACCCTGACATCAGCTGGGAAGACCATACAGCTAGGCAGGCGCAATCCAGGAGGTTCCTACAGAGCATCGATGATAACTTTCTGATGCAAGTGGTGGAGGAACCAACAAGGAAAGGCGCGCTGCTGGACCTCGTGTTAACAAACAAGGAGGGACTGGTGGAGGACGTGAAGGTTGGAGGTAGACTCGGCTGCAGTGACCATGAAATGGTCGAGTTCAAGATCCTGCGTGGAGGAAGCAGGGAGATAAGCAGGATCAAAACCCTGGACCTCAGGAGGGCTGACTTTGCCCTCTTCAAGGAGCTACTGGGAGGAATCCCGTGGGCCAGGGCTCTCGAAGGCAGGGGGGTCCATGAGTGCTGGTCGCTCTTTAAACAACACTTCTTCCATGCACAGGAGCAATGCATCCCCCTGAGAAAGAAATTTAGCAAAGGAGGCAGGAGACCTGCATGGTTAAACAAGGAGCTTCTAGCGGAGATCAGGCAGAAGAGAAAGGTGCATGGCATGTGGAAAGAGGGACAGGCCACTTGGGAAGAGTACAGAAACGTAGTGAGAGCATGCAGGGATGCGACGAGGAAGGCCAAGGCTCACCTGGAATTGAAGCTGGCAAGGGATGTCAAAAACAACAAGAAGGGCTTCTTCAACTACATCAGCAGCAAAAGGAAGGCTAGGGACAACGTGGGGCCGCTGCTGAATGAGGCGGGTGTCCTGGTGACGGAGGATGCGGAGAAGGCAGAGCTACTGAATGCCTTCTTTGCTTCAGTCTTCAGTGCTAAGACTGGCCCTCAGGAATCCCAGGCCCCGGAGGTAAGAGAAGAAGCCTACAAAGAAAACGACTTTCCCTTGGTTGAGGAGGACTGTGTGAGGGATCGCTTAAGCGATCTGGATGTCCACAAATCCATGGGCCCCGATGGAATGCACCCACGAGGGCGGAGGGAGCTGGCGGATGTCATTGCTGAGCCACTCTCCATCATCTTTGAGAGGTCCTGGAGGACAGGAGAGGTGCCCGAGGACTGGAGAAAGGCCAATGTCACTCCAATCTTCAAAAAGGGCAAGAAGGAGGACCCAGGGAACTACAGGCCGGTCAGCCTCACCTCCATCCCGGGAAAGGTGATGGAGCAGCTTATCCTGGAGGCCATCATGAAGCAAGTGGAAGAAAAGAAGGTTATCAGGAGTAGTCAGCATGGATTCACCAAGGGGAAATCATGCCTGACCAATCTGATAGCTTTCTACGATGACATGACTGGCTGGGTAGACGAAGGGAGAGCTGTGGATGTTATCTACCTTGACTTCAGCAAGGCTTTCGACACAGTCTCCCATGATATCCTCCTGGGGAAGCTGAGGAAGTGTGGGCTGGATGAGTGGTCGGTGAAGTGGATAGAGAACTGGCTGAATGGCAGAACTCAGAGGGTTGTCATCAGCGGCGCTGAGTCTAGTTGGAGGCTGGTGACAAGTGGTGTCCCTCAGGGGTCAGTACTGGGCCCAGTCTTGTTTAACTTCTTCATCAACGACCTGGATGAAGAGTTAGAATGTACCCTCAGCAAGTTTGCTGACGACACCAAACTGGGAGGTGTGGTAGATACACCAGAAGGCTGTGCTGCCATTCAGCGTGACCTGGATAGGCTGGAAAGCTGGGCAGAGAGGAACCTGATGAGGTTCAACAAGGGCAAGTGCAGGGTCCTGCACCTGGGGAGGAACAACCTCATGCACCAGTACAGGCTTGGGGTGGACCTGCTGGAGAGCAGAGAGGGACCTGGGTGTCCTGGTGGACGACAGGCCTCTACACTGCCCTAGTGGGGCCTCATCTGGAGTCCTGTGTCCAGTTCTGGGCTTCCCAATTCAAGAAAGTTAAAGAGCTATTGGGGAGAGTCCAGCAGAAGGCTACAAGGATGGTGAGGGGACTGGAACATCTCCCCTACGAGGAGAGGCTGAGGGAGCTGGGCTTGTTCAGCCTGAAGAAGAGAAGGTTGAGAGGGGACCTTAGAAATGCTTACAAATATCTGAAGGGTGGGTGTCAGGAGGATGGGGCCAAGCTCTTTGCAGTGGTGTCCAGTGACAGGACAAGGGGAATTGGGCACAAACTGAAGCAGAGGAAGCTCCAGCTGAATATGAGGAAGAACTTCTTCCCTTTGAGGGTGACGGAGCCCTGGAACAGGCTGCCCAGGGAGGTTGTGGAGTCTCCTTCTCTGGAGATATTCAAGACCCGCCTGCACAAGGTCGTCTACAACCTGCTGTAGGTGACCCTGCTTCGGCAGGGGGGGTGGACTAGTTGACCCACAGAGGTCCCTTCCAACCCCTACTATTCTGTGATTCTGTAATCAGGGCAGCATTACACCTGAAAGCCATGCAAATTACACACAATGCGAACAGAAGTCACTAGCTCTAGCTAACTGGCAGGTCTGATGAAAAATGAAGAAGGTGAACTACTTCACCCATGGGGAAAAAAGCAAGTAAGTTCTCAGCCAACTGATAGCCCGTTCAGTCCCTACCGCCATTTACAAAAAGCCTTACTTTTGCTGATAAGAACCAATGCTAGCAGGTTCTGCAGCAGGTCAGTCTACCATAGTATGACCTAGGCATGCTTCACGTTGTTCTGAAGGCATACAAGTCTGATTTGGATCCACACACGCAGGAATAGAGATGCATATTGGAAAATTAAGCTATTTTAAGATCAGTAATTGTATCTTAACAGGGCACAATGCCACTTTCTTGAGACATTATACTCAGTCTCAACTGATACCAACAGTTTTGATGAACTACGATGACTTCAATCTTTCCTTTTGTTTGTAAAGTTTTTTTTGAAGTTTGTACAGTTAACACTAAAAGTAATTCTAACAAGTTTCAGGTGCCTTTTTAAAAAAAACACCCAAACAAAAAAAACAAACCAAAAAGCCCACAGATCTATACATGACATGTCAGAAACAACGGAACACCACCAGCAAAGCACAGGGGTGCCTTATTTATACTGGAAAATTTATCCTTGGTTTTATTCCCTTAACAAACACCCATTAGTAGTTCTACAGAATCAAATACAGTAAATATTACACCTCTGTATTTTGGTCAGAGTTCAAAACAAAACGTTTACCAAAATAGAGAAGTTATTACCTTTGCTCTGTAGATGTATCCAAGAACCACCACCACAACTTCGGTGATAAAAACCAAGAGCAGGATGATCACAAACTGTAAAATACAATCAAGAGCATTTGTGCAAATAGTTTTACCCATTTACTCTGAAATCTATACAGATTTTGCTATTTAAAGTAATTTTTCAGGTAAAGTTTTGATTTAACAGATAATTTAAAGCAAGCAATTAAGACCAAATGAGCTCAGAAATAACTTAATTCAAGAAACTTCAGTGTTCATTGCTTCACCAAATAATAACAAGCCGCCCAGCCGGGCAAGTGTTGATTATCAGGACTGAAAACACCATACTGGAGTGCTTTAATCAAGTGTTTCTTTCAATCTTCTTTGTTAGATAAATAAGAATGTCACACCAAAGCAGCTACCCAGGCTGTTACTAAGAGTGGTAGATGGACTGAGAGAATGTTACTTTGCATTGAGCCCTGTAACAACTGACAGAGACAGCAACCTATGCATTCGTCTTGTTATATTTAAGATCACTTTTAAAACGAACTGTTAAAGAAGTCTACACATCCAAAAAAAAAACCCTGCGGGGACATTTAAAATACTGGCCTCTCTTCTCTCCTACCTAATTCTCAAGCTGAAATTACAGTTAAAATGCTTGGAAACACATGACAAAATACTGCAAAGTGTCCAAATTAAGCCATAAAGAAAAATATTTAGGCATCACGACAACCCTCAGTTAACCTCAATGCAAGGTACTTAAAAGAAGGCGGCTTCTGGATCATCCTTCAGTCCAACTTTAGCTTTTCAACCAGAACAGATAAAAATGAAATTAAAAACTGTTATGACTTAATCATATGGCTTTACTTTTTTTCAATGTGATGACCACTGTCCTAAAAGAAGTAAAACTGAGGAGCCTTCCGCTGCGAGAACTGGCTAATTTAAACACTATTATTCAGAACAGAAAATTGAAATAGGATGATCATAACAAAATATAAGGGGAAAACATTTAAGGCCATAAAATAACATTAGAACAAAACTTTAAAAAATATTTTAGAAGTCTATTAAAATGGTCGGCAGCCAAACACCATGCAACACTTGCAACTTACCGTAGCAAGTCCACAACGACTTTCTCGAATTGTGGCACAGCACCCAATAAGTCCAATAATAAAAAGAAGTGTTCCCACAGCTATGATAATAACTGCTGGAATTAGCGTGTACACATCTTCAAAGAAGTGATCATAGTCATCATATGTGATGAACACATAGGCTCCCACGTAGCACAGAATGCCTGCTGCTGCCTATAACAGACACAGTAATGTGGTAAGTTTCTTTGAACACCAAAACCTCCTTTCAGCAAAGTCATGCTCCTCAGAAATTAGATACTTTTTAAATTTAGACATCTTTGCCAGGTTATAGCATATGTTTATTAGTAACATCTCAAATGGAGACTAGACAGTCACTTTCAAATTGCATTTAATCTAGGCAGATTTACTTTTGACTACACTGTGGAAGTCCGCTAATGGACACAGTCAAGAAACTAGGGTAACCATGCTATGAACACCAAAATGTTGCTCCTTGTTCTCAAATACTCCCTTTCCCATGCTGTGAACTGAAAAACTGTCTACATAGACTAGACTAACATTCACAAACTGTCTCATACTTTTGAGAACAGGGTTCCAGCCCATCTAAGCAGCAAATTATTTGCTATTCAGCAGCTTTTCAGAATATGTATGTAGTTCTTCTGCCTGCCATTATTTACCTACTACTTATTCTTCCATTTTGCTGATTACTACCTATGATTTAACATTAGAACACAATAGACAGATACACACATTGCAAACTTTAACCTCTACTAGGGAAAGATGAACTGCCAGAAACAACAGCCTGAGGTGTTCACAGTGCTGGAAAAGCTAATTCTAACCAAGAAATCAGGTAGGAACAAATATAAAACACCAACTACTAAAAGACCGAACCAAATACCTAAAGACACATACCACAAAACCTTCCAGCTATTAAAAGAGATTTTCTCAGAAGATCAATTGTACAGAATGGTCTTTATTAAACAAAAATCACTGAAAGTTACTGCAAATAAGACCCGTAGGACGAATCTGCCTCTATATAGATTTAGAACAATAAGAGAAAAACGCTTACATCAATCTGATATGACCTTACCTCCCTTACAGTTACAGGGATCTGAATATATCAATACCTTCATTAACCTTAAGCTGAGCAAACCTAGTGAAGGACAGGCAGCTGTTGCTTGAGGAGACAGCTAACATAGATTTATTTCAAAATAAAAATAAAAGAGCCTTTTCAAATTTTCCTTTAAAAATGTCTTTCATAACTGTCTTGACACTTGCTGCACAATGAAACAGTCCTGCTATATAGTAAAATGAAACATGTACATCCAATTGATTTGCAATGATCACAGAATCACAGAATAGTAGGGGTTGGAAGGGACCACTGTGGGTCATCTAGTCCAACCCTCCTGCTGTTTTTTTTTCGGCAGGCTTCACAGGACCTTGTCCAGGCGGGTCTTGAATATCTCCAGAGAAGGAGACTCCACAACCTCCCTGGGCAGCCTGTTCCAGTGATGATGGACAATATAATTTGAATATCTTATGACACACTTTTCTGGTGTCCCAATACAAGGCTAAGCTAAAACAATCCACTCGGAGGATGCAACAACTAAGACATAATTTGGAGCATTCCATTTTGCTGTGAAGGGTAGTGTCCCCATTACAATCCAATCCATACCCTGGACCCACAAGTTCACTCAACTGGAATATTATACACTTCAGCTCTTGTCTGAGCAAGAACACTGCAGGCTGCCTCCAGCCCTCCTTTCCCACTCAGTGGCCTTCGTACTACCCCTGGTCCTGCACTGCAGAGAGGAGGGTGGACAGACACACATACAGCTAGTTCCAGCAGCTGTAACAACTAGAAGGCTGGGTCACGCTATTGTAGAATCGAAGAATCAATTACTAATTCAGGCCAGGAAGGACTTCAGGAGATCATTTAGTCCAATTTCCTGCTCTAAGCAGGGTCAACAATGAATTCAGACCAGGTTGCTCAAGGCTTTGTCCAGTCTTGAAAAGTCTAAAAATGCAGAGTCTACAGGCTCCCTGGGCAACCTGTTCAGAGAGGCACAGAACAAGACAAGCCATAAGACAACCAGTGCCTAGTATATCAGCACTATTTGCTACTATGTACTAGAAGTACTGCAATATTACTGTGCCTATTTCCTATAACACAATACTGCATACACACTACCAGATTAATATTTTACATATGGAATATCCCCTGAAGCACTTGGTTACAGAAACACTATGTCAAAGAAAAAGGTATTAGAGCCAGCTCAAAAGTACCATCAGTTCTGCATGGATTTGAGCAATATATTTCAACTCTCTGCCTCTCTTTCTGTAGTGAAGCTAAGTATGTACTCTGCAGGAATCTTAGAAGCATCTAGAAGGCTTACATTCATCTAATAAAAGGTGCTATGTAGACACAATGGTAGTGAAACCGCAAATTCAGTAACAGTCAAATACCAACAGCAAGGCAGCTTCTCCAGACAAGAAAATCTGAAGTGAACAAGCTATTACAAAATCACCCCTTTTATGCATAAAAGATGTTGAAATGCTAATCCAACTATACAAATCCTGCTATGTTAGGTACAACACGGCAAAACGCAGACATACAATTTCTGTACACAAAGCAAAGATTCAAAGTAGTATCACTGAACAATGGAATTACATTAGCTGTTGCCTAGCAATGAAGCATGTGAATGACAGGACAATGATGTAATCTCCTATTTCTAAGAACTAAAATGCTTGTTAGAAATATTGTATATTGCAAGGTGGCAGATGAAAGACACAGCTGTAGCTGGCATCAGGCACAGAAAATATACTACAAAACCGAAATCAAAACCATTCGTGAACCCCTTTGTCCTCCTCTGTTTTGTGATACTTAAGTGGCTTCTAAGAAAAATCTGCTTCATAAACTACATGAGTATATATGTTTAAAAAAAAGTTTAACCTTTAAAAAACTGTCTATAGGTGTTAGCTTTCCTTCCCTATTTCAAGAACCATATGCATTTTAAGCAACTTCGCTCTTCCAGTATTATGCCAGACAAGATATGTCTGACAAGTACAGAGAATACTGTCTCAGAAACTAAGAAGAGCCACACTGTGTTTGTTAAAAAAAATTAATATTTTGTAATGACTACTGGAAAGGCAGATTTTTCTTTAGACTCCTTAGACTGACTAAAGCAGCCTGGTCTGAAGGCTTCACTAAATCCGTTCCATATATGATTCTGTAACAACTAATCAGACACGACAGCATTTGGCCTAAGGATTTTACTTCTGCAGAAGCTACAGAATTTTGGGAACAGCAGTGTGCATTCATATGTCTATAAACTGTGCACTAGAATAATGAGGAAGTTGAAGATAAAGACCTTGCATCTACTTGATGAAGTGACCATACCCTTCAAAAATTACTGCTACCTTTTCGGGGCAGGGGAAGGTGCCTTTGAAGATTAAAGCTCCTTTCCTGTGTTTCAGAGTTTAACATTATTTTTGAACAGGTACAATACCTAGTCTATCATAGAATGAAAACAGCAACACTACTCAGTCACTTTACAGGAAAACAAGTTTCAAATGCCTTCCCTTCTCCTTTCACATCACAACCATATGATGCTTAGTGTCTTCTTCAGCCCGCTCTAAACCAGGAAGGGACGAGGTCTCTAAATCAGCATTTTAGCTGGGATTAGGAAAGTGCTTTTGAAGCAATCCTTTTTGTTCATCTTCCAATGATTTTCACTTACTACCTTCTGGCTTGCATCACTGAATGGTCTTAGGAGCGTGTAACAGGACTCACTTTGGATGAAACTAAACCAGAAGATAAGTGCGTTTATTATGATAACTGCTAACGGGCATTCTGCCAACGGGACCAGACCAGCTTGAGGTCCTTCCTCCCCACAACTCCATAGTTTCAAAATCTGGCCCTCGGCACAACTGGGTTTTGTTCCACCTCCACAGTACCATGTTATATGTTAATGTAAATAAATCATAAATACTGGGACAGCAGATGAAAAGCTAGTTTTACCTATACTAAGTATGCAATCTACATTGATCAGTGCTGCACCAGTTAAATGCACATTTATTACCTATTGCAACACAAGAAAAGTTGAACATGTGCTTTTTAAAAGAAAAAAAACCAAAACCCCCAAACAATATCATGTGCTTAAATTATTCCATTTTTGAGAAGTAAATTATCTAGAGAAACTGAAATCTGTATCACAAGTAGAGACACAAGGAGAATCTAAAAAAAATTCCAAATCTCAATGCTTCTTATCCACCAGAGTAAACAGTAAATCTGCAGAAGTCTGAACTCACTCGAGTCAAAGACATTTGAATACAAAGCTACCACATTCACAATCATGCATTTCTTATCATTACATGGAAGGCAAATACATGAACTGCACACAGTTCAAATAAGTCTTTGATACACAGGGCCTGAAGGAAGAATTTTCAAACTTAATCTGCTCAAGGCTCTGAACAGAGATGGCAGCAGCTCCTGAATCTGTGCCAGGTCACATGAGTGCTCTAGGGAGATTACTGGTTATTCAGCATTTGCACATCCTTTTAGAGTTGTTTGCATCTAACTTGTAGTACTGAACCTGAAGCAGCATACTCTTATTTTAGGATGAATTAGCCTTTAAAAAGAATGCCAAGACAAGTACAGCCAATGAAGACAGTTTATTGCAAAAGGCTTGAACAATTAAGACATCCTTTTCATCAGAGGAAAAATTTAAAAATGCATAGACCTCTTATAGCTCAACAAAAGCTTGTCATTATTGCTTTACCATGGGCCTCTAAAAAAGCTGAACAAGTACACAGAGAACTGTACGGAAAACTGGAAGATCTAATGACACAATGATACACACAATGATAAACGTCACTCAAAGCATTATAGGAAAGCATACTTAAAATTCAGGGTTTGTAGAATAACACCCCACCCCCAATCTCTGGGCTGGTATAATACAACCTCTTTAGCCCATGCCTATTTCACAAAGTCAGCTTCCACTACACACTATCTAGACACGCATTGAAAGAGTTTCAGGTTTGGGTTTTATTGTTGTCATAGGTGGGGTGTTTTGTTTGTTTGGGGTGTTTTTTTTGTTTGGTTGTTGTTTTTTTTTAAGTAGGCTACCAAGACACCCCAAGAACCGTCTTCATCTTTTCAGTAATGCTCACACACTGGAGCAGTGTGAAAGCTAAAATTTTGGCTGACTGGTACATAAGGTATTTAAACTACATCTTCTGTTGATCATTTGTTTATCAACTACAGACACTGCAGCTGCATTACAAACTAGTGCTTCCTTATACTACCGTACTAGTGTTGCTCCCGAACAGATCTGATGAAAAGCTGTCCAAAGATTTTGTATCTTTACAAAGAATCATCCTTCATGCTACTTTTGCCATTCACCTTGCTATTCAATTTCCTTCACTTTGGGACCACAACAGAACCCATGAAAAAGATTTTTTGAAATTTTTTTGGTACTCTTTCAGTTAACTAGGTCAAAAACCAGTATTTGTCCCTTTAGAATTTGCATTTTATTCGCTGTTTTAAGAAAAATACATACTCTCTGAACAAGAAAATGAAGGTAGCAGCAAAGTACTATATGCTAGGAGAAAACACATCCACGTCCATTTAGGTAAAAGCAATATTTCACTTTTTTTGTAAGGACACCTACTCAAATTCCTGTCAACCTTACCATTGCTGATTGCGAAGTTCTGGTAGTAATACAGATACCACTCTAAACTCAATTATTGGTCATTCCACTACTAAAGCATCTTTCAGGACTGTGATTGTAAAATACACCTACAGTATATTCAGACAGACCATCTGCATAGTCGTCTTTTTTTTTGCTTCTTCTCATCAAAAAGTAAGCAAAAATCTTCCACACTAACAGTCCCTCATCTTGTCTGCCTGGATCCTGTCCCAAGACCATCTTCCCAAATTGTGTATTGCTTACCTCACATTAAACTTCATTGTATCTTTGTTCTGTCTCTCTAGTCTGATGCGAACACCTTTTTTTTTTTTTACATGATTTTTTGAGGGTCTATAGTTGTATCAGTTGAATTCTTCATAACAGTTATTTTTCTCCACGCATACTAATGCCTGAGTATTACCTACCTATAAATAAGGACACTGGTATTGTGGTTTGCCACGCGGTTTTTGGGCTTCTTAGAACAATACAGTGTTTTTCCACACTACTTCTCCACTATTTAACTTCTGCTGTATTTCTCTGACATTTTCAGTTCTCTCCAACACTATTCATAGCCTGATTACAGTCAGATAAGAGAAAGAGCTTTCATGATCTGCTTCCATGTTTTTCCTTTTCGCTTTCTGCCCTTCAAAATCTAGTTCCTCAGTTTTAACTTCAAAGGCCCTATAGGACACCTCTGCTGTTTATTTCTTACATTCTTTTCAGCACTTCACTACTACATATCTCCCTCTCCCACTCCCCTCCGAAACAAACACGCACCCATACATGACATTAACTACTTGCTTAAATTGGTGCCCATCCACCCTACAACCCAGTGGTTTCCTGACACTCTTCTACTTTGTTCTCATCAATAACAACGTAACTGGAACACTGAGCCATAACTGTCTTACAAAATCCTTTGGGAGAAGAAAACAAGCAATTCCATTCAACTTTGTACATATTCAGAAATACTTTAAATACTTATAAAACAAAGCCATGCAAAATTCGAGTAAGTCAGATTGCTTTGTCTGTACTGGCCAAATTAAATTCTGTAACACTATGTATAAAAACCTGAAATTCAAATACTTTTGCAGCTAGAGGAAAAGGCTAAACTAGGATGCTTTTGCATTCGGCACTCCTTATCTTAAATATCACCAATTGCAAAAGGCAGTGCACCAGCAGACTGTAGTTTTTTTTTAAACTAAAAGCGATGTTAACAATATAGCCATTCTTTTACACCTGTTTAGTCATCAGGGTCATAACTTGACCCAGTGCTCTACTGTTTCCAGAATTCTTGCCCTGCCAAGAACAATAATGATTACTCCATGCTACAAAGTTTCACCAGGTAAAGCCATACTTCAAATTCCACCTACTACTCAAAGACATCACATTTAGCTTTACAAGTTGTTTTTGCTTCTGTTGATATTAGCTCTACTTTTAAGTACAGGACCAGATACAAAAAATCCTGAAAAGTCCCAGGCAACAGCTTGAAAACTCATCCTGTGAGGAAACATAAATGACAATACCATGTTACTTAAAAGCAAATTGAAGTCTTACCAAAAATCAGGTCCTGGCTCACATTTGCTACCTGAAAATTCATATTCAAATATAGTAATAAAAATCACTCATAGAAGGTATGACACCTCCAGGGTTTTAAATCCTAATTTTTGATAAAAAATTAATTTCTTTCATGCACAGGATTCCTAACTATTACACAGTCCTGCAAATACACATACTTCACTACCACAGCAGCAGAAGCACAAGGCATTCTACTTTCACAACCAGAACTGATTGTCCTTTAAGACAAAAAAGGCTTCAGTCAAGTAATCCCCGACAGGTAGCCTTTGGGATGATCTGTCAATTATAGTCTTTGATCACAAAAAAACTCTCAAGAAGATTCTCCATTACCCCAGCTTTTGAAGTCCAGATCAGAAGCAATTCTCAACCTCCCAGAAAAACAGAAAAATTACTTGGCTTCTTCCTACATGTAAGAAGACACGAGCTCTACTTTTCTTTTTCTTTCTACTGCTAAATTTCAATAAATTTTCCCATTGCTGCATTTTCTTTCTTCTTTTCTACGAGAAACCCAAAACACTACATACACATTGATAGCTACAGCTCCTTTTAAGGATACCACAGACATTTCCTCTAAGATAATACTACATTATTTCTAATACTATGGTTATTGTACTGTGGTGAGCATGCATAAGTTGTAAAGTGAGCACAGAATTCTAGAGACCATTCTTACTGTACAGAACTGAAGCCTTCAGACTTCGCTAAACAATCCTACCAAAGAGTGTTTTATAATAGCTTAGTTAAATGCACTGTAAAAATCAATGACTTTAAGTCAGTAAAATAATTGCAAGAGCAACTTAAACTGTTATTTTGCAGCTACTGAGTTGAAAGTATTGCAGAAGCAGTGTTCATTCCTTTTCTCAATGAGCAGGACACGGAGGTAAAGAAAAAACCTCAGAGCAAGCACAGGGTATTAGGTACCGTTTTAACAGAGCAGGCTGTCAAGAAACACACATTCTTCGTGAATATAAAACAGACTCCCTTTTCTGAAGCTAGACTTAAGCATCTCTGAATATGTCATCCTTATATCCCATATTCCAAACATAAGCCTGAAAACACTTCCCTAGCATTCTTGTCAATCTCACTTCTTCAGACTGCTTTCAAACATATTATGCAAGTGACTCCATGAAGCCTTAAAGTAAGAGCTCACTAAATAAACACACTTCATAGCAGTCTTTAGATATTTGTTCCAGGTAAATTTATTTCTTCCTCTTTCACATCAATGCAGACTTCTACTTCAACAAAAGATTTTTTTAAAAAAACATGCTATTCTCAAATACTTTATGATCATCTTTTATTTGTCATTGGTCATATTCAACACTTCATCATGAAGAGATCAAAAACTCTTCTGATTATCAACTACTGTTTAAACTTTTATTAAGACTACAGTTTAGTATTTTCCTGTCATACCAGTCATTCCAATCTTTCCACACTGGAGAAAAAAAAACAAACCACACCACATCCTAAATCCTCAGACAGATCCATCAGCATTGGGATTTCCACTCCATCAAAAATATTTCTGAGAATGTATGCACTAGAAGTTCCATTATTTTATTTTTAAGATGTATTGTCTTTCACATCACAATTACTTCCTATGCAACACCTTTCCTTAAAAGCAAGGACTTAGCATCATCTAAATGAAAATGAAGTCACTAGTTAGAATCACAGAATCAGAAAGTTTTGGGTTGGAAGGGACCCCTAGAGGTCATCTAGTCCAACCCCCCCACAGCGAGCAGGGACACCACTAACTAGATCAGGTTGCTCAGAGCCCTGTCCAACCTGGTCTTGAATGTTTCCAGGGATGGGGCCTCCACCACCTCTCTGGGCAACCCGTTCCAGTGTTTCACCACCCTCATTGTAAAGAATTTCTTCCTTAAATCCAGCCTAAACCTACCCTGTTTTAGTTTAAAACCATTACCCCTCGTCCTGTCACTGCTGTCTCTACTAAAAAGATTGTCCCCATCTTTCCTATAGGCTCCCTTTAAGTACCGAAA